AACAAAAAAACAATGAGTGAAACGGGTCCAAATAAATTTCAAGTCTATGAAATTAATTTAATTAAATAACTAATGAATTAAAAAATGAGTGTATTTGGATTTTGGACTAGAATTAGTATTATATATTAGTAGAGTAGATGAAACGGGACAAACAGGATGGATCGGTATAAATTTAAGTTGTCCCGCTCATGTCCCATTTGATATTGAGACGGAACGAGTTCGGATAAAACAAATGTATCCCAATATATCGGTACAATTACAAAATGGATCCGGGATTTTTCGGAATGGTCTAACATGAATGGATTTCACGCCCACCCCTACCACACATTCAAAAATCGAAAAAAGGTTTTTTTAATTTATTTTAAAAAATAAGAAGAAGTAGGGACATATGCGGAATGTTTTGAAACCCTACCAAAAGAGTTTTCGTAATTAAATTTTAAAAAGACACGGGTATTAATGCACATTTCTCACGAAGGCCAGAAAAACTATTTGCTTTTAGAAAAAGTGAGGCTTAAACTAGTCTATATAAAATTAGGAAGATGCTATGGGTACACCTACCCCAAATGTCCCCACACCCCCTTCATAACCACTCATTTTTATTTGATTTTTATTTACTTATTTTTTTTAAATTTTCTTGTCTTTTTTTGTGGACAAGGAAGGGGTGAGGGAGTTTTGGGGCACACCATTTGGTGTACCCCTAATATTTTCCATAAAATTATCCAAAATAATCTTAATATGCTTGATCTTTAACAAAAATCTTATTTCTCATTGTAATATATAATATTTTTACTTTACTCAAACTTGAAAGTTTTGGATTGCTGTTAAGTTGCTCACGGCTAGTAAACGAAAATGACATGTTTTGCGCAACAAAATAAAAGTTATGTTTGTTTTTTTATAAATTGTTGTTTTTAGTTTTTTTTTCAAAATTTTCCCAAAATATTTAAAATGACTTCCAACCTCCATCATTTCTTTCTTTATTTAAAAGTTAGTCTAGCCACAAGAAAAAATAAAAAAAGATATGAAAAGTAATGAAATAAATAAGGTAATCAATAAAAACTAATCTCAAACTGTTAAGAAATAAAATAAATATATATAAAGTGATGGGTTCTAACATTTTATGCACTATATAGATTATTAATGTATTACTTCTCCCTGTTGGTCAAAAATGAAAATAAATATAAAAAATAAACCATAAATAAATTTCTCTTTTCCTTTTTCATCCGTCCCATAAAAAACTTCTTATTTCTATTAAAAAGTCACTTTTACCCCTTACTTTTTCGTACCCTACCTATCACATCATACCTTTTTACTAATAATCTACCCATCAAATCCTACTTTTACCCATCACATCAAAGGACATTTTTGGAAATTTAATACCAAAATACACTCCCTTAAATCTCTTCAAAAAGCAAAACATCCCATGTTTAATGGGACGGAGGAGTATTATTTTTCTTATTAAGGAATAACGAAAATTAAATTATCCATGCTAAAGAAAATTCTTTTTTATTTCTTATTTTTAAGTCTTATTTCCATTTTTAAGGGTTTAATAAGAATATATTTTTTACTTCTTGTTTTTATTTTTATTTTTATTTTCATTTTTTATCAATGAGAGAAATCAATAGCTCCGTATGTTGCTTAAAACGTTAGAACCCTCCACTCAATATATTTTTTATTTTATTTCTTATCAGTTTGAGGTTAGTTTTTATTGATTATCATTTTAATTCATTAACCATTTTTGTATTAGTTGTCTTACTTATTTTTTTTATTTTTTATATCGATTTTTTTTAGGTAGGACTAATCTTTCAAAAAAGAAATGGATGCCGTTAACCAGACGGTAAAAATTTCAAAACAATCTTTAAAAAATGAGGTACAAAGTCATTTAAAAAATTTAAGAAAAATTTTCAAAAAAATGAAAATTTATCAAAAATAATCTCAACTTTCATTTTATTGCGCAAAAGAGATCACCGTTAACAAGGTGTAAAGAACTTAACTGTAACCTAAAACTCGCAAATTTCAGTTAAATTAAGATTATTATACATTAAAGTGAAATGTGAGCTTATTTTGAACATCTATATCACAATGTCATATTTCAACTTAAACATAAACACAAAACCAATTCAAATATATACTCATTGAAGGAAATATATTGAAATAAATTTAAATTTATATTTACCACTTGGAAACAAAAATTCACCTAATGCAAAAATATATAAATAAATAATGGTATTATTAAAGATTTAAAGTGAAATATGAAAAAATACCTCAAACACGGCGAAGGGATGTGTCGGCGAAGAGAGGAAGATGGCGAAGGGTTGGCGAAGGGAGGAAGAAGGCGCAGGCCACGACGAAGAGTTGGCAACGAAGGGTCGGCGTTGGGACGAGGCACGGCGAAGAGAGGCGTACATCGGCGAGGGAAGGCACGAGAATGGGTGGCGTCAGCGAAGGGAGGAAGTTAGCGAGGTGGCGTCGGTGAAGGGAGGAAGTTAGCGAGGTGACGTCGGCGAAGGAAGGATGTGAGCGAGGTGGCATCGGCGGCGAAGGGAGGAAGTCGGCCTGGCGTCGGGGAGGAGTACGACGAAGGGTTTGGAGTTTTTTCAAAATCGCGTAAGGATAAGAAGTTGGAGGCTGATCATAACTTAACCTTTTGAATCGGTTATTCCTAATAACCGATGCAAATACTCTTTTGCATCGGTTATTAGGAATAACCGATGTAAATGATTAGCGGTACGCAAAAAAATTTTGCTTTTACATCATTTGTTTTGTTTAGTGATGCAAATGGGGGGATTCATTTGGTTGTTTTTGTAGTAGTGGACCATGTAAAGTTGAGCTTATTATATACTTCGTATAATTTTTCTATTTAGTATTGAAACTCTTATAGTCTGTTTTTCAGAGCTTAAACACTTAACTACAAGTTTCTTCTAGTTCCTTCTAGTATTTTCAAGTTTTTCCAATTTCTTCTAGTTCTTTCTAGTGTCTTCCAATTCTTTCCAGTTTCTTTGAGTTTTTCCAACTTTTCTTATTTTCTTCAAACTTTTTCTACTCACCAAATATTACTTTAAAAATGATATTTTTAATTTGATTATTATTATTATTATTATTATTATATCTTCATTATTACGGAGCATTTTTATTACAACTATTATGTTCATAACTATAGTTTATAAACTGTTTCATTTTTTATTTTGTCCATGTCACTGATTTTACAATTCACACTCTTATAAATTGATATGAGAAAAACATTTTTCAATTTTTTATAAAAAATTTTCAAAGTCGAAATATTTTAAAGAACAATACTAAACTATGAGTAAAACCTAAAAATGTAACAAATGTGAGTTCTATATTTTTATTTCCAAAATAAGAGTTACAATGCAAATATAATGTCAATCATTAAAGAAAAAATAGATTTGATCATATTATGTGACAGATCTGATATTTAAAGTAAAATCTTGTAATATATAAAGTATAATTAGAAATATATTTTTTATAATAAATACTGCATAAATAAATTGAAGTGCAACGTTACCACAATAACTTTTTAAAACCTAACATTTCAATATTTATGCGAACTTTATATTCTAATTACATTTTTTGTGAAAGTAAATTTTTGTGTATGAAAAATGTATGCTTTTAAAAGCATACATTTTTATTTATATTTAAAATCTTTTATTTTAACAACACTTTCTGATTTTTTTACCGTTACGCATCATATCCTGCCTTTAACATTAAGTAACATTAAAATTATACATTCATTAAATCTCACCTTCTTTTCAAGTTGAATATGAGATGGAGGGATTAAATTATAAGAATATCAAATCAATAAAAGTATATTTTATATTTAAAATATAATCTTGTAATAATGCTAAAAAATTTAGACTAATCATCCAGCAGCTGCAGTCTCATATACAAGCGTATACATTAAGTATAGAAATGAGAAACAGAGATAAATCAAGAGGAATTTACGTAAATAACACTAAAACATAATGATTTTTCCTAAATTGCATTACATGTGTTTTTATTTCCAATGTAGCACTTTTAGTCATTATTCATTAGTCATTATTCAAATAAATGTTTGTTATTACTGGTCATTATGGACGTTATTAATTGCTATTTAGAAAATAAAACAATTTAAGTGTTATTTAGAAAAATGACTTAAATTTTAGTGCTATTTAGTGCAAATATTTCATAAATCAAATGTGAAACTCAAATTGTTGAGTGATATATAGCGTCATTCCTAGTTACTCCTTCTGTCCCAGTTTATACCTCTGTTTACGATGTTTGACCGAAACTATTTTCATATTACATATATGTGAAATGGTGTAGGAATAACAAATAAAAGTTACATGTTAAAATAATACATCAAAAGATTTACAAAATTAGTGGTGACATTACGATAATATTTTACCATATGACTAATTAACAAAAATAGAGAAAGAAAGTAAATGAATTTTGACCTTATGAATAGTAAACAAACAATATCATTTAGAACGGAAGGGGTACTGATTAATATTGGACTTAGAACCAATAAAAGTGCTATATTTTCATCTTCAAAATAATATTATTACACTGTAACAATGTTGTAATAATGTAACGAGGTATATTATCATGCATCTTTTTTCTTATATTTTACTCATATTTTAATTTTTTGTGAAATTTGCACTAAATAGGACTAAAACATAATGACTTTCTTAATGTAGGACTTAAACTATTTTATTCCCTAAATAAGAGTTAATAATGACCTAGTGGAAGAAATAATGTCCAGTAATGATGGACATTTAGTTGAATAATGACTTCTTGATAATGACTAAAGATCCTACATTGAGAAATAAAAACATATGGTCCTATATCGGAAAAGTCATTATGTTTTGGTCCTATTTAGGTAAATTTCTCTAATTTTTTTCCTCCACTATCACCTCATATATATATATATATATATATATATATATATATATATATATATATATATATATATATATATATATATATATATATATATATTTTACCTATTCGAAATAGGGTTTGGACCACTGGGAACTTCATGAGCACTGACATTGAACGAACCGCGGCGGCCAACCCATTCCTTTCTCCCCTTTGAAGAAGAAGCACCACAATTATGATGAAAAGGATGGCTAGCGTCCGACTCAGCTGGCTCTTCTTTTGGCCTTTCGGACGACGACGACGACGACAACGACACGGAGTTGCTGTTGGTGTTGGTCTCGACGACGACACCGGCGCCGCCACCAGGATGGTCTGGGGCTAAGTTTCGTCGCCGGTCATCGACATTGGCGGCCGCTAGTAGGAAGAAGAAGAGGAGGAAGAGGATATGATTAATATTGGAGATATGATGATGAGTCTTCATTTGGCAATTGGTAGTGCCATATATAGATAGATTTAATAATATCACCTAGCAGAAAATTTAACTTGCATATTTCTAGCTATGTTTTGTTGTAATAAATGCCTAAATAATGGGAATCTTGTGGAAAGAGTAAAGTGGTTGAAAAAAAAAAGAAAGGGAGATGAAATGCTTTAACAAATGTCTGATCAGAGTCAAGTGGGGTGCGTGAAGCTTTAGATACGGAGAGAGAGAAAGAGAGGGGAAAAGTGAGATTTTCTCTCATTTGCATGGTCAAAATACAAATACCCAAATGTGTGTGCCAAACAGTCCGTCATTATTCTGCTTCAATTCCTCCCTTCTAAAAAGAGTTTTCCACTTTCACTTCATGAAAATAAGACTATGTGTTATACAAGGGTTGATGGGGGCTTGACCACCTTCATATATAAATGCCATCTTGCAATGCATAGTAATTTAATCACACATTTGGAGAAGATAAGAGGGGGTCTAGGGTTGGGGTGCTGGGGCCGGGCCCGAACGAGTGGGATGCAATAAAGGGTTTAAGGAGGGTTATGGAGGTATGAACCATCTATTTTTCATTTGGAGCACCGGAAGAGCTCCAAATGAGTGAGTGTCATCCGTCGAATCCAGATGCTAGTGTCAACAAACTGTCGATTTATAATACAACACCTTAAAGTCCAATATTCCCATATTCTTTATTTAAAAATTGATATAAAGTTTATAAACTCTATTCATTCCATAAGAATATTTTTGTTTTACATTACTATTTACAAGGTCCAAGTATATCACTTTTTCATATATATTCTCATTTATCAAATTAAAATAAAATAGTCAAATGATTACTCAAGGGCGGACACATATTAATATAGTTGGGAGCATATGCCCCCTTCTAAGTGTTTGCAATAACGTATTTTTTTTGAAAACTTATGTATATATGCCTCCAACAAAAATTAATGTGACTCCACCTATTTAGGTTTAATTTAAAGTTTTTGTTCAATTTTTGTTAGTAAAGTGTATTTTATTGGACATAATTAGTTGTGTATGCAATAAAATGTTACATTACCTAATAATAAATCTTTTAAAATCAATAGATGTTTGAAATAAAAATTAATATTTTTTGTCATTTTATATACGGAGTAGTCTATTTAAAAAAATCTAGGAGGCCCCCGAACTCCTGACCAATGTTGTCATTTTATATACGGAGTAGTCTATTTAAAAAAATCTAGGAGGCCCCCGAACTCCTGACCAATTTTTCGTCGCTGTAATTGTTGTATAAATTTTTTAATTTAGTTTTTAAATATATAAAAATATATTTTTAATTTTACACTATATATAATAAAGTTGACGAAGAGAAGGTCTAAATAGGACTCAAACATAATGACTTTCTTAATATAGGATCATATGTTTTTATTTCCCAATGTCGGACCTTTGTTCATTATCTATTAGTCATTATTCAAGTAAATATCCACAATTACTGGACATTATTTTCATCACTAGACATTATTAAGTACTATTTAGAGAATAAAAAAAATTTAACTAATTAGTAAAAAAATCGAGTATGTGAAAGCCATTAAAGGGGAGAAAGAAAAGAGTACTTTAAAGGTCCACCGTTGCCGCATAGACTGCATTAGAGATGAGCAAAAGGACCAATGCGGTCTGACTAGACCGGTCTTTGGAAAAGACTGCTACAGTAAAAGACTAGACCAGACTAGTCTTTTTAAAAACCCGGTCCTAACTAGTCCGGCCTTCTTATCAAAATCAAAGACCAAATAAGACCACTAGTCCAATCTAGTCCGGTCGGTAGTCCAATCCGGTCCGGTCTCTAGTCCCAACATATTGGGTCAAGATTGTAGTTTTGCGATGTTGTGTCAGGGTTACCAAATAGTCCATCAACTCTTTTTGCATCGGTTGAAATTGCATTTTGCACTTCGCTCGCTCAATCGCTGATTCTCTGAGGACATCTATGAGGACTAACTCTACTGCTCTAGGACAGAGTGTTGTGACGCTTGAGTTTATCTTGAAACTCTAAGAAAGTACTTATGGGATAGGGGAAGCCGAGAAGTATTAATCATTTCTAATTTGTATTACTCTATATTATTTTTTTAACATTTTTATACGTACTACTCCATATATACTACTCCCTATATACTCCGTAATTTACAAGTAATATAATTAGACTCTAGAGGACTAGTTCTTTGGACTAGTCCTAGTCTTTAGACCAATCTTTTACTAGTCTCGGACCGGTTCAGGTCTTTAACATGTCTTTTATTAGTCTTAGACTAGTCCTAGTCCTCTATAAATATTAAGGAACATTTGAGACTACTGGTCTTGGACTAGACTAGTCTCAAGGACTACTTCGATTCTAATCTTTCAAGTTCAAATCCTAGTCGGTCTCGGTCAATCTTTTCGGTCCCAGTCTTTATGCTCTTCTCTAGACTGCATAGTGCATTAGTGCTCCCAAATCCCATTTCTTTCATAGAACAAAATGCTAGGGGTACAACAAATCTTGTACCCCATTTGTACCCCTTCCATCTCCACCACATAAAAGCAAGAGGAGAAAAAAAATTAAAAATAAAAAATGAAATCAATGGCTAGGACCAATGGTGTACAAATGGGGTACACCAAATGGTGTACCCCTAGCATTCCTCTTCATAGAAACATTCCCTCAAAATTGAAAGAAGGGTAAATTTCATTAATGTTCTCTAATTACATGTGGTTTTCTATATTTTTTAATACTATTTAGTATAAATTTCACTTTAAAATATTACATAAATGATTCTTAAGTTTCTGAAAATATTTTCATAATCGGTCCTTCAAGGATTATTTGTGGAAAAAATATTTTTTCATATTTGGCTTAAAGGACTAGACTATTTGTGGAATAGTTCTACAAAACAGAAAACCATTTATGTAATCTATGAGAATTGGAAATTAAACATGAGAAATCATCTATAATTATGGATCATTTATAGAATTCACTCATGAAATAATTTGACGGCATGTTTGAGAACTCAAATTTGGATTTCAAATTTGGATTTTGTACAAATTTTATGTTTGAAAAATCTTTAAAAATTTAGATTTTTCTTTAAGGCAAATTCCTCTAATTTATTATAAATCTTAATTTTAAATTCAAGTCTTTCATTGTCATTCAAAATTTAATAATTCAAGTTTTGGAATTGAAATTCAAGAATTAAATTGAAATGCTAGTTCCCAAACATTAGTTGAGTGAATGTTAAATTGATAGTATCTGTTATCCATTTAGTTCAATTTTTTCGAGCTAAATTGAAAGATTTTTGATTCTCAATTAAATAAAAATTATAATGTTTAATATATAATAGTATAAAATGATTTCATTAAATCTATTTTGTTAAAAACTTCAAAATTTGATTTTATTACATGTAGTCCCTCGATTTCACAAAATTAATTTTCTTTTTACTTTTTTCTCTATCTACAAAACAGTTACACTTTTTATTAAAAAATCATTATCATTCTTACTAATTATCACTGAACCTATCACATCAGTTATTTCACCGTTAATTTATACATTACATTCTATTTTTACTCATCACATTAATGGACAAAATAGAAAGTCAACATCAAAATACATTCTCTTTAAATTTGATAAAGGTCAAAACGAGATTTCTTTTTTAAAATGGAGGGTGTATTATAGATCTATGCAAACAAGGGTCGGCCCGTCTAGCCCACCCAACCCGCCCTTCAAAAAGGGCGGATATGGACAACCTTTAATACCCACATGGGTGGGCTAGTCTAGGCCGTAATTATATTTGGTTGAATCTGGAAGTTACTTTTAGCCCATCTGGGCCAATAGGCCCGCCCATATTTATCAAATATATTTACTTTATTATTAATTACCTAGCTAATACAAATTTTAAAATTTTCAATAATTCATGTATAAGGGTTCAATTCACTCACATATCTTAAACAAAAATCAAAAGTCTTTTAATGAATCAATATGATGGTTTTATTAATTATGCAACAGTACCTCTATTATGCTTTCTATGTAATGTGGTGACTGGCGATTTTATTTTAAACATTGAAAAAAGAGTTCAAAGGTCGTGTGTTACAAGAGTAATGGTAGTGATGGTGTTGGCTTTAGCAGTGAGCGGGCGATGGTGGATTTCACTTGGGGCTGTAGTGACCGACTGTGCGTGCATCCCCAAAATTGCAAGCTACTCTTTCGAATCTATGATTTCAAAGGTTGTTATGGCTTTGACTGTAACACCCTAATCCGTCCAGGTCTGCAGCCTTTTTCGGACTAAAGTATTAACTTGGTAATTGTAAAATTTAAAACATTTCAAACACTTTTATTTATCACAATAATATTTTTCATATCATAAGAGTACGAAGTTTTCAATATTGCGAAAGCTTAAAAAATCATAATCACAAACATAATTCATTTTATGTTCTTAAATGCAAAACCATCACATCCATTCCGACAATCTCGCTTCCGTCTGCCTCCAGTATCACGTCACATCATTCTATTAACCTGCGTGTAGCAAATAAAACATATTACACACTTAGCGTTGAAGCTGAGTAAGCATATCTAATGCGTCGAACATCCATATAAACTGGTTCCCAATTCATAATCAATTCATTTGATATCATGCACATAGTGTTCAGTTCAGATATTCAATAATCAATATTCAATTTTAAAAATTCATTATTCAATCATTCAACATGTATATTCATCATCCATATTCAACATTGTAATTTATCATTCAATATTCACCATTTTTCATTCAACAATATCCTTAAACTATTCTT